AGAAATATGTATATACATTACTTTCCTAACCCCCACCCCAACCCCAACCCCAACTCCCACCCCCACCCCAACCCTAACCCTAACCCTAAGCCTAACCCTAACCCCGAAGAGCGTTGGCGGCGACTGTGGCCCTGGCGCAGGAAGGACAATGGTCCGCCACCAGTGCTGTGAACCGGCGATGAGGGAGTGTTGGGGTGTCCCCAGGACATTGGCAGGACGATTGTCTTTGGAGCTGGGAGGGGTGTGTGAATAAATCAAGTGAATAAATCAAGCATGTCTTTTCAAAAAGTTTAATTTGAACAAGAAAGTCAGTCCTTTTGCTCTGCAAAGTCTCCTCTCTAATACTCGAGAGTTTTATGGAAGTTGTAAAGAGGTTAATAAGCACAGTGCATCACTCTGGTATGAAATACATATTGTTATATAGGGGAATTGTGCATATATGTTATAAATTCATATGTTTAGGCACTGTCCTGCATGTATACTAGAAATATGTGAGGGCAAATGTAGACTTTCCCAGTCTACAATGAATAATTGCAAATATTAGAAGTAATTCAGCACTGCTAAGTAGCTTAATCTTCTGGTTTTTGCTTTCTAAAGTATGGGGTTGGAATGAAACTTGTTTAGGATAGACCTTGAAATAGATTTGTCCCACTGAAATCAACAGGATAGTATCTAACAAATCTCACTTATTTTAGTGGCACAAATTCTGGATCCCATTATCTGGAAAGACCAATAGATTTTAAGCCAAAATCAGAGATGTTATTAAATCTGTCACATTTAGACCCATGGCAATATATATTCTGCATTCTTTTCTGATTGAGGAAGGGGGGAAAAATCTTTTAAATTTAATTATTTTCTTCTCCCACTGTTTGAAATTTCTGTCTTCCAAACATCTATCTGTTAGCTTTGCCTTATTTAGTCAATGAAACTCCTTCTGGTTTCCCCATCAAATAGGCAGTGTGCTTTATAGCAGTTTATACAGCTGAGAAATGACAGTTGTGGAATCTGGAGTGCAAATTAAACTGCATGCATGGGAGATACTGCATTGCATGATTGTTACAACAAAGCTATACAAGGAGATAAATCTCTTTGTGCGCATCGGTAACTAAAGGACTCTTTTCCAAGACAGAAATCTCCACTGTGCCTCTTGGTGGTGTCTGTTCACAGGTGCCCAAACATTTCTCTTTGAAGAGGAAGGGCACGGGGGTGGGGGTTAGGGTTTCCGCTCTTCAACTGTATCTCGTTTATGAACACAAAGGTAGGGCAGAGAACAGGTTTCACAAAAGGCCATCTGGCCTGTTGTCCACAGCATCACCCACGTTTTCCTAACTCCCAACACTTCTGCCAATGGGTATAACTGGCTGGGGAATTTCTGAGAGTCAAAATTCATGCATCTGGAGGTTGCCAAGGTTGTACAACGTCTATTCATTTATTTACAAGATTTATGTAGCCACCCATCTTATGCATCATAACCCTGGGTGGCTTACAAACAATAATAAAACAATAAAAAGTACAAAATAAAAACCCCTGGCACCCCCCGCAAACATCACATCCCTCACATCCAAAAGAGAACTTTCCTGAGCACCAGCCACACACTATCCCAACATCTGTGGAGAAGCCATGTTCTTAAGGCCCTCCCTTAAAAGGGTGGGGGTCTGCCAGATCTCAGAGGGAAGGTGGTTCCACAGGGCAGGGTCTGCTTCCTGGATCCTGCTAGATGGCAACATGTGAAGGACCTGGAGCACGTCAACCCTATTGGACACGGTAGAATGGACAGCTACCCTCAGGGAGAGGTGGTTCTGCAAATAACCTGGCCCTGTGCCATACAGGGCTTTAAAGGTGATAACAAGCACCTTGAACTGCACCCAGAAAAAAACTGGAAGACATGAAGCTTCCACAGCGGGGTATAACATGGGAAAACTGTGGGGCATCCAAAAGTGTGTGTGTTGCTGCATTCTGAACCAATTGTAATTTCTGAATAGTCTTCAAGGGCAGCGTTGCAGCAACCCAACCTGGAAGTGACCTTGACCAAAGCCTCCCAGTCCAGAATGAATCTGTATGAAGCCCCCCCCCCAGCCACAGCTGCTATCTGCTCCTTGAACAGGAGCCGTGAATCCAGGAGAACCCCCAAGTTGTGTACCAGCTCTATCTAGGAGAGTAAGATGGCAAGAGTCAAAGATGTTACTTCAACAGATCCAGATTTTTAAAATGTGTTTGAAGAAGATGATAAAGGGTATGTTTGTCAGTGGATAGTCCGGTGTTGCTAACCCTTTAATGATCATAATTCAAAATATCCCTTGTTTTACAAATCTATGATGTCCAAAGGGAGATTCTGAGCTTGATGGGAGATAAAATGGCAATTAGTGTTGACTGAATAGATTAATTCGGCAGACTTCCCGCTCATGGAAATTCAGGCTTTCATGCATTCTGGATTTTGGTGCAGGTATCTTTTTACGGCATCCGGAACTGGGTCCCACTGTTCAAAGTGCAGTGACAAAATGGAACAAGTTCACAGGAGAGCCACCAAGATGGCGAGGGGTCTGGAAAGCAAGCCCCATGAGGAAAAGTTAAAGAATCAGGGCAAGTTTAACCTGTAGTAGAGAAGACTGAGGTATCAAAAGGGTTGTTGGATGAGGAGGAAGTGGACTGCAACTGCCCCAGGGACAGGACCAGGATGAAGGGCGTATAACTGTAAGGAAGGTGCCCCTAGGAAGTGGGATGTGCCGAGTTCTTCACTGGAGGACTCCAGGTGGCTGGATGGTCACCCAACAGAGATGCTCTAGTGGAGCCCACACGGGGGGGGGGGGACGACGACGGGGAGTGGACTAGGCGATCTTTCTGATTTTAAATATCCGTTAAAACGAAAAGCAACTTTATTACATTTTTTCTGTGATATGTAGAGGGCTGTTTTTTTGTTTTGTGCATAGGTGCCATTACTTTTTTTATTTAACAGAAATTTCTGCAACGTATTCTCCCTACATTTCAAGGAGTTACTATTCCTCTTAGCAGCAGGGAAAGGAGGAAATTTCAGGGGGGAAATTGGCATTCAGCAAAGGAGCGTTTGCTTGCCAGGGTTGGGTGATGAAAGAAAGAAAGAAAGAAAGAAAGAAAGAAAGAAAGAAAGAAAGAAAGAAAGAAAGAAAGAAAGAAAGAAAGAAAGAGGCAACTTCTGGCCAGCCTTTTCTGTCCTCAGCTTCAGTACTGCAGCCGAGAACATGGCAGGCAGGTGGTGTCCCTGCCAGCCTCTCAAGGTAGACCAAATCAGAAAACGGACTCCGTGGGAGGACTAGAACGATACTTTATTGAGACAGGGTACAGGGACAGAATCCTGCAAGTCTGTCTGTGCCTTCCCTTCCCCCCCAATGCCCCATGGAGGCTGGGGGGCAGGGGGGAGGCTCGTCTCAGTCTCTTCCACCTCTCTGGACGTAACGCAGGCCCCTTCTGGCAGTTGTCCAAGGCCACCAGCCTGACTCCCTACAGTCCCAGTTAGTCCTCAAGAGCACCTCAAGAGGGGTCTTGGTAAGCCCCAGCAAGAAAAGATAAGACAAATGAATTATTCCAGAACTTGGTCTGCATTTAAGTAAAGGCTGTAAGTCACGGTTTTGGCTCTTTCAAGTTCATATTTGTTGAGGTAGTAAAATGATTTTTACGAACTCTCACAGGCTTGGCTGTAAATCAAGCCCAATAATACACCATAAAGGGTAAGGCGCTTTCTTGTTTCCCCGCTCCTAAAGAGGGGGCAGCAAGTACCTGAAAGAGTGCCAGGGAGACCCAGAAGGGCCTTGCAGAAACATGGTTCCTTTCACGGATGGGCTGTGGGTTTCTGTGCTGACTCTCACCCAAGCATGAAGAGCCTCTGTGCCACAGAGAGTCCCGCTGGCGGATCTCACGCACCTCTTTCCATAGAAGCCCATGACGGGTCCTTTCCTGTGCTAGCCAGTCTGCTCTGCTCTGTCTCTTCCCATCTGGATGGCAATGGCAACAATAGGGACATTCAGGAGCAAGCTTCATTTTTTCATTTCTTGTTTATTTCAGATTTCTTTTCTAACATTTCCAGGGTGGCCAGAAGCAAATATTACTAGGGTCTGTATTTACTGCATTTGTGAATAAAATCTTGCATAGCAAGTAATTGAGGCACTATACAATAAGAGCATCGCTAAAACCTCACACCCTAAAACTTTACACACAAAAAACCTACCAGACTAAAATTAGAAATGATGGAAACAGAGCACCAACTGCCTCTGAGCAAATGGAGGAGCATGGGGTCAATCACAATCCTCTTCCCAAATTGGGGGTAGACTGTTCAGAAGGCCAGCCCCACCCAGCCCCTCTGAAACAGCGTACAAGCAGGATAAGGAACGACAGGCAGATTCATCGGGCAGCAGGCTGTGCTTCAGACATCTTGGTTTCAGAAAGTGGAGAGCTTTTAGGTCATATTAAGCATCTTTCCTAATGGAACAGACAGCAGTGGCCAAATGTGATATGATCACCAGTACACACACCTAATATTGTCTAATAAATGCATTTTCTACTCGCCGAACATTCCGTGTTTTTCAAAAGCACCCCCTGGAACAGGTTAACAAGATTAAAGCCCCGGAGACTATGGCTGCAACTTACTTTTGTCAGAATTGTATTGTGGCCAGTCCTCAGAACAAAACCATGTCTTTCCATCAGCAACCTGGCTTGCTTTACTTTGGCCTGCAGATGTAAAGGAGCGTTGCGCTGCATGGCTTGATTAAGGGCTGTGGCATTTCTGTGCAAGTTTTAATAGAATTATACAGAACTGGAGCTTAGGAAGCCAGCCCGATGCCGTTCTAATGACTTAGGAACAAACCAGAGCTACATAATATTTGACTCGAGCCAAGCATGCTGCTGACGGAGTATCCAGGAGCCCAGAATCTGGCAGGCTGCAAAAATCAGACCTACTATACGTTGGTGATGGGGCTGCATCTGCAGGCCTGGAAAATGTCCCCCGAATCTTCCCTCCAAGGGCCGAGTCCTCAAACACAGCAGCAGAGAGTGGAGCAGTCCAGTTTGGCTGGGGATCCCCCATTGCCTGCTTTCTTGTTCACTTTGGGGAGGAGGAGGACAAAAGACATGGCCAGAGCACAGTGGTAGAAGCTGTGAACGTAGGTGTAGTCCCAGTCCTGGAAAAAGGCAGAACTGACCACGTCAGTGTCAAGGAGAACATACCGTAGCCGATGCACATCATTCTGTCTGTACTCTGTATATATATTGCGTTTCTTGAATGAAAGTCAAAGGCTTGAAAAGCATTTTAAAAAAAGAGCGCGATGGACAGTGTTCCTTACTCAAATGACTTTGGTCCCTAGACAGTGCCCTCATTCAGACAATATTTAAGTCAAGATGTCAGCGATTTTTTTGCACATATGCAATCACTCCACACCACCCTTTATGCAAGCCAAGAACCAGCCAGGAAATAATTCCTTGACCATAGTTTGCCATTTTGCTAAATTGGGAAATTGGGGTTATTTGTTCTGTATTTCAGAGAGTTTCAACTATGTTGACTCTTGGCCAGTCCCTTGTCCTGGGACAGCATCCAGACAGCTTGACTCAAAAGTTCTGGGGCCAAAGAATGCAGCCAAGGTGATGAATGGACAAATTGCTGTGAACAAGAACAAGAACTCCTTCTAGCAAAGGAAGGGGTAACTTTTTGGACCTCAGAGAGCTACGCAAACATTGTAGGAGGAGAACTATGTTAGTCTATGATAAACAACCCTCAGAAAGAGTCCAAGAGCACCTGGAGTGGTTAACTGCTATAAGATTTAAATTGGAATAAGGTGGTGGAAAGACACTCTATGTAGAAGTGATCTGTAGCCCATGAAAGCTGGTGCCTTTTATTAAAATGTGTTATTAAGAAAAGGTGCTACCAAACTCCTCCCGAAGGCACCATGTGTGAGCTGGAGGGCCATGTGTTTGTGTGCACAGGTACACATAGAAATTCAAGTATATACATATTCTCATTCACACACTACATATGGATTTCTGCTACTTAAACACTGTTTGCAGGGGAGGGGGGAATTCAGTCTTCACCCTCCCAGAAATCCCGCTATGGATTGCTAGGTTAGCATCACCATCAACAATGGCGAGAGATAGTTGCTTTCCTCCCCTCTCACAGCCCAGCTGCAGCTCTTCTGGGTTTTCTGTGCTGCAAAAAGTGTGTTCTGCTGGTGGAGCAGAGGAAGAGCGAGGAGTGCCATGGCTACTGATTAGACCGTGGAATATGTGTTTTCCCTGCTAATTAAAATAAAGGAGTCACTTTCAGAGGGGTACGTTCCCTAAAAATGTTTGATCTCGAAACAGGCTCAGATTAAGAGTATCTACCTGTTGCTGTCTCCAACAACCCTCTTGTCTACATCAACCTGTCTTTTGCTAAAAGATCTGAGCAGTCATATCAGAACCTCCCTGAGGGACATTTTTGGTGCCAGGCACAGACCCATTGTTCTTTTTCTACTAGTCATCCTGAGCACAGGGCCCCAAAAGCACCAAATCCTTGTCTGGAACTCCTTGACTGCCCCTGAGTGCATGCACTGATATCTGTTCCTCCTACTTCAATATTGTACATTTGGCTCAATGCTAAGACTGCCAAGTGAACCACACGGTCATTAAGATCTTTGAGTTGTGTGATTTCCAGTGCCAAATAGAGTATTTCCTGCTTTTTCCCATGAATCAGTTTGCCTTGAGAGATCCAATTGCCTTGAACACCCAGAAAGAAAACCTTTAATGGGGGGCCCCATTAAAATGCCCCTGAGTCCACAGCCTGATCCTGTTGGTAGCAAGATTTTAGCTGTCAGGTCCTTTTTTTTGTGCCCGGAGAATGATGCTTTGAGACCAACAATTGTGCTAACCAAACAGGGTTGCATGCTCAGGTTAGGGCCCCAAGCTAAATGCAGTTACTTTGCCATATTTAATTTATTTTAAATCCATTTTTGTGATATGTGGGG